CAATTTGCATTGGTGCCCCTCGAGCTTTAATTTATGCCTTGAAATTACCAATTAATTGCCAGGAAATACCTGCCTTGCCCTAGAAAGGGGCAATGTGGTACCTCGTACAGAAGCATTCATATGTACTCGCATGTAAGTTATAACAAACATTATTATGTACAGGTGATTGGAACTAAACTGAATAATGTGGTGAACTTGACTTATATTTAGGCTTTAGTAGCTCTTCTGACTTCAGAGTAGTTCAAAAAGGTAATATCAAAACGTTTATTGATATGTGTACATGTTTATATGTAATGTATGAAATCACATAACCACCTACAGCAGGACTGATGTGGGTAGGACACCCTTAATATGTACTCGGCATTTCACCATTGCAGCATTCTACGAGTATCAGCTTTACGACCAGAGACGGTACTCCATTGGAGGACGATATACTGGAAAAATTTGGTGAATTAAGCGGTCCAACAAGACGTGGGAGAGGCTCTGTATTATACAGACACTCACTGCTCACACCTAGTGATGAACCAAGCCACAGCTTCATACTTCCAGTAAGTTTGAATAAGGCATATTCAGAAATGTTGACACTGAAGTGTGTTGCCAGTGCAATGTGTTAAACGTTTAGTTGTGTGTTATTCATGTAATGAATTTCATAGCATATCAAATTTAGAGGAGTTATATAATATCTTCCAGATTGTGCCAGATCTGTCAAGTGATTGTAGGTTCATTCTCTTAAAAGACCACAACAAAATGATAAAGATATTTGCTTCACATAAACTATTTATACTTGTACACCAAACTTGTTTTATTATATTTTAACCCATTTACAATTTTACAAATACGTAATATAGTTGCTACATTTATTTCGATATTGAATGCTTGAATACTGTGCATTTTTTTCACTAGCAGTCGCCTGGTGCAGCTTTACATAGGACATCTCCACGGCGGCACAGTGTGGCCATTGGGCAGAGAACTCGCTGGAGCCTATTGCCACGTAAACATCGCCGTCGAAACAGTGCTAGCTCAGAATCTACGACTCCTGATGCATTGTCAGCTTCGGCGAAGAAACTTAGGAGCTCGTCAGAGGCTTTGCCAGATGAGGACGAAGAGTATGTGCCGTTGGTGGAAAGCCACAATGACGCAGGCTCTGACAGTGATGACAGCAATGAGACAGAGTCTGGGATCAGCAAGGCTGCTAAGATGCGTGGTAATCGACATAGCAAGGAAACCCTGTCAACTATTGCGCTTGATGACGATAACGACTATGAGTATATTCCATCCGACAAGAGAGGTTCTGTTACAGGCTACAGCGACACAGACTCTTACAGTCACGATAGCTTGGACACTGAACCTAGCATCAGTAAAGCTAAGAAGTCGAATCCACAGAGGCTCAAGCCAGTGGTCAAGTCCGAACGTCGGTCAGTCTCGCAACACGCAGCAGCGAAGTTGAAACGCCGATCTGTGTCGACGCTCGTTCCGCGATCGTCGGGCGGGCGGGCGGCCCCGCTGCTCAGGCGAACCTTAAACCGGCACACGGGAAACGACGGGCGTGCTGTCCCCTCTGCTACGCGGCGACGTGTCTCAACGGCGAGACGTGCAGCCCAGAGCCCCTCGAGTCTCGCCACGGTGAGTCGAAAGTCGAAGAGATCCACCGCGGCGCGGGGAGTCGCCACGACGAGTCCAGCCGTGGCCCCGACTAAGAGGTCACGGACAACGCGCGTCAAGGTGACCGTGAAGAAGGTGACCCCGCATTCCTGCCTGTCGCCGGAATCTTACAAGCGGATGATTGAACTGCGCTCGCCCCGATCGCCCGTCCGCTCTCCTGTCTTTGCCGGGGATGGCACTCCCCTAAACAGGAGAGGTGTGCGGAAAGAAGGGAAGCGCATCACGCCTAAAGCGGAGTTGACGTTGCTGTCTCCTAGCGTGGCGCTTAAGAGAATACGGTTGAGACCTGCAGGCGAAAATTCCTCCGTTGTATTGAAGTCGACTGGGAAGAAATCGAAGAGAAAGTCGCGCTTGTGGAAAGATTCGTTGCGCAGATATACTATGATACAAGATAGCACTGCAGCGGTAACACCTCCTAGAAGGCAGGAGCGGTTGCCAAACCAATCCTCGGCAAAAAAGCCAATAGCTATGAAGCATGCAGTAGCAGTTGGCTCAACGCCAGTACGTCCTACTACTTGTATCATGACGATGGCAGGAGGTAGGGCATCTACTCCTCGGCGAAAACCCCTTGACGTCGCTACACCTCGTAGCTCGCCGCGGAAGGCACGCCAGGTGGCGCTGGTTCCGAAATCTCATGCACCTGCCCCTGCTATAAGCAAAACACCGAGACCACAGAGAGAACTGAAGGGAAGAAGTACACCTGTGTCGACAGTTAAAGGAACACAAATGTCACTGAGAGAGCTGAAGACAAGAAGTACACCGGTGCAGATAGTAAACAAGACACAAACACCACAGAGTGGGCTACGCACTAAAAATAGTACACCTCGATTGGCCAAGAGCACGACACAAACACCACAGAGTGGGCTACGCACTAAAAATAGTACACCTCGATTGGCCAAGAGCACGACACAGGCACCACACAGTGGGCTAAGCACTAGAAATAGTACACCTGTATTGTCTAAGAGCACGACACAGGCACCACACAGTGGGCTAAGCACTAGAAATAGTACACCTGTATTGTCTAAGAGCATGACACGGACACCACAGAGTAGGCTAAACACGAGAAGTACACCAGTGCTTGCAGCAAGCAAGACGCAGATGCCACAGAAAGCACCGAACACAAGAATCCGTACACCTGTCCCACCTAAAAACAAAACACAGATGCAGACACCAAAGACACCTCTGAGCACTAGAACAAAAACTCCCGTCTTAGCTGCAGCCAAGACACCAACACTCCAGAGGACACTGAGAACAGGAGGTCAGCGTACCCCAGTCGCAGCCGCAAACAAAACAGGGATGCCGCAGAGGGCGCTAAGTGTGGGAAGCCACGCGTCACGCACGCCTGTGACTGCAGCCAAGACAAAGACACCGAGGTCGAGCGCTTCTGCTCGCATATCTCACTCGAAGCTTCGGCGTTCGTCAACCAGGGTTCAGAGCGCAGATAAGTGGAGGAGGTCTGCCGCTCATCATAGAAGGAGCTCCCGCCTGGAGACGCTATCCACGTCCTCATCAACCAGTCCTGCGAGTAAACCCAAGCACGTCGACGACAAGAGCGAAGATTTTGTGCCGTCAGTTGACGGTAGTTCTGTTGCGAGTTCTAGTGGCAGTCGTGGTAGTGATGACACAGATCTTGGGGGCCATAAGCCCTCATCTGCTAAGAGGAACAGGAAGCAAGAACCCAAGGAAACTCTGTCAACACTTGCACCTGACGATGAGGAAGAAGATGAAGACTATGTTCCGTCAGTTGACGGTAGTTCAGTTACGAGCTCCAGCGACAGTCGTGGTAGTGATGACATAGATCTTGGGGCCCATAAGCCCTCATCTGCTAAGAGGAACAGGAAGCAAGAGCCCAAGAAGGAAACCCTGTCTACACTTGCACCTGACGATGAGGAAGAGGACGAAGACTATGTGCCATCGGTCGACGGTAGTTCTGTTGCGAGCTCCAGTGACAGTCATGCTAGCGATGACACAGATCCCGGGGTCAGTAGCCATTCATTTACTAACAGAAACAGGAAGCAAGAACCCAAGGAAACCCTGTCAACACTTGCACCTGACGATGAGGAAGAAGATGAAGACTATGTGCCGTCAGTTGACGGTAGATCTGTTGTGAGCTCCAGTGGCAGTTATGGTAGTGATGACACAAATCTTGGGGTCCATAAGCCCTCATCCGCTAAGAGGAACAGGAAGCAAGAACCCAAGGAAACTCTGTCAACACTTGCACCTGACGATGAGGAAGAAGATGAAGACTATGTTCCGTCAGTTGATGGTAGTTCTGTTGCGAGCTCCAGTGACAGTCATGCTAGCGATGACACAGATTCCGGGGTCAGTAGCCATTCATCTACTAACAGAAACAGGAAGCAAGAACCCAAGGAAACCTTGTCAACACTTGCACCTGACGATGAGGAAGAAGATGAAGACTATGTTCCGTCAGTTGACGGTAGTTCTGTTGCGAGCTCCAGTGGCACTCGTGGTAGCAAGGACTCGGAATCGGAGGTTTATAAATCTTCATCTGCTAAAAAAAACAGAAAGCAAGAACGCAAGGAAACCCTGTCAACGCTTGCATCTGACGATGAGGAAGAGGACGAAGACTATGTGCCGTCGGTTGACAATGGTTCTGTTACGAGCTCTAGTGACACAAACTCTTCTAATCGTGATAGCGACGACGCTGAGTTCACTGTCAGTAAGCCTTCATCTGCTAAGGGGAATGTGGTGTCAAGCCCCTTGTCGAGCAGACCTGCTCGAAGACACACTCACGCGAGTGAGACAACCGATTGGGAAGGGCAGAGGTTGACACGAAAACGCCTTTCCGAGGTCCACCGTAATGAGAACGAAGTACGACCCACTCAATCGGGTCGCCGGAGTGATACGGGCGTACGTATGACTCGTCGCAGCCCCTACACAGGAATAAAATCGACTTCATTGCCGAGCAGCCCTGTCAGAAGAGGCATCCGCACCAGCTTGGCTGCAGCAAAACAGCAAAGTGCCACACAGCGTCAGCAACGTGCAAGGCGAACTAGTACCTCCGATGCTAAGAGCACGGTTACTGCTTCGAGGAACTTGCCGCCAAAACGTCACTTGAAGGGGCATGATAATGAGGACGCACATGTGTCACACATAAGGACAGTTGATAGGAGACGATCCACAGGTAGCCACCTCCATCGCAAGATCAGCTCTCACATGGCAATCAAATCAACCTCGTTGCCAGGCAGTCCTGATGCACAAAGCCTGCACGTCATTGTGGCAGAGCAAGAGCAGAGTCCTGCGCGTAGAAATCGGCCGGAACCTAATGACAATCGCACCGTCGGGAACGCCAAACGTACGCTCACCGACAAGGTACCCTCGCCGCCGAAACATCGTACTCGTGCAAGCGACGTCGGACCCAGGGTGCAGGCAGATCTCCCAGGTGACGGGAGACGATCAGCGGGCGGTCCCCTCCTTTGCAGGAGGAGCTTGCGTGCGGGGACCAAGTTGCTTTCCTCGCCGGGCAATTCCGTCGCGAATCGCCCAAGCGCCGCGGTCGTCGAGCCGAAAGGTCAGGTGCTGACGCGGAAACGCCTGCGGAACCAGAGCGGTCACGATGACGACGTCTCACTCGACGTCGTACGGATGCAACCGGCGAAACGAGTGTCTACCGTGTCGCCGCGGCGATCGCGAGCGCATCTTCCGGGGAGCACGCGGGAGACGTCGTGGATGCTGCAGACGAGCGCGAGCGAGTCTGACGGAATGCCGTCGCCCGTCGTGTTGCGTGGCCGCGACACGCGCACGCCGGGCGCGCCGTACATCAGCTGCCGGCGCCTCAACATCTCGTCGCGGTCAGCCTCCAGTCTGAGCACGTCGATGGGCGACAGCGCGCTTGAGTATCAGTCAGAGATGGACGCAGAGGAGGCTGACAGTGAGAGCAAGATGTGCGACACGCAAGCATGTTGCATCCTGTGAGGCATGCGCGCGCGCGTTCGGACGTCTGTTCGCGTCCTACGCGGGGGTTTAGGTTGGGCTTAGAGAGATGGCTGCAGCAATGTTTTGATTGTGGCGAGTTTTTATTAACAAAATTTTAATGGATTTTATCAAGAGCTAATAATACCTAGAGTGTACAACGAAAAAACGGGAAAATAGTGCTATTTCACAACAACATCATTCTACTTTGCCTGCGAGTCTAGAATAATTTTATGGT